GAAAATACACTTCAAATCATTTACTAACTTCTCTCACAATTTACAGTACAACTTATTTATGAAAATATGCTTTTATGGACCAACCGTAACTAGTTTATGCCTTCTATTAATAGGTGTGTTTCTTCATTAAATTATAATGGGTTACCAAATCAAGAATCTCTATCGTCATGCCTAATATTTGGATGTTTCTGGTATTTAATTGTGAGTTTTAATTTGCATACATCATCGGGATTTCTTCTCGTAAGTTCATTTGTACATAATCGACGACTGTGAAAATTAAAAATACAACATTTTCTCATGTAATCACGTAAGCCAATATATATACCATATCTGGTATATGAGACTCGTTGTATTATTTAATATCTTTTGTACATTTTATCATATAATAATGTTTTAGAGTTCTGTAGACGCAGCTAACCCAATTTGAAACAACTTGTCTTTTTTTCTTCTTCTTATCTGTCGTAATCAAGCCCCAATAGAAGTGGGTGCCAATGTTTCACGAACAAAATCAAAGAAAAAATAAAACCTCTTCAACACATATGTTTGGGAGTATAAACTCAGTTTCCATCTTGTGCTTTGGTGTGATTATGTCTTTAAAATGCTCACGACATTTTGAAAGTAACTCTCAACAGTAAATATTATCTTATGCAAATATTTCATTTCTCATTAATTTGGTATATCTACATCCATTAAAAGAGACTATAGTATTTCATTTCTCATTTCATGTCGACCGAATGGACCTAACTAAAATGATTCGATTCGTAATCATATAACTACGATAGCGAGTTTAACCTGCCATTTTAATACTTCTCTAGTCCAGGGTGGGAACATCCATGTTACGTTTTATGTTATAGTTTATTATGAAGTATTATTTTATGGTCGGTTGTTTGTTTCAAAGGCCGGTTTTTGACTCTGTTTCTTTCTTATTCCTTCTGCAGAGTCTCTCTTACCTATTCTATTTGATTTCTTCTTCCTTCTTCCTTTCGCTCACTCAGATCTCTCTATCAGCTTAAATAATATATTTTCTTCAAATCATTACAACAGAACAGAAAGCCCACACGAAGTCTTATTTATTTCTCATAATTTTCACAATTATCACTACACGGAAACAAATAGAAACCCACCCAGCAGATTCTTTTCTTTTTTAGAGTTAAAAAGACATGAATCATCGACAGAAACAGAGTCCCATGACTAGCTCTGCCGTTTTCTTAATCATTATCTCTGCCCTCTGCTTTGCCTCCGGAGGCGTCTCTGCTTTGGGAGTAAACTGGGGAACAATGGCGAGTCATCAGCTGCCACCAAAGACGGTGGTGCGGATGCTTACAGACAACAACATAAAGAAAGTGAAGCTGTTCGATGCCGACACTGACACTATGGGAGCTCTTGCCGGTTCAGGCGTTGAAGTAATGGTGGCTATTCCAAATGATCTGCTTAAAGCCATGGGAACTTATCAAAGGGCTAAAGATTGGGTCCAACGAAACGTCTCTAGGTTCAACTTCAACGACGGTGTTAAGATCAAGTAAGTTTTCATTTAACTGCTTTTGTTAATTTGAATTTTTTTTTTTTTCTTTTTTACTATTATGCGTTGTTTTAAAGTTTAGTAACGTTTAACAAAAGGTAAAATGATGAAAAAGACAAGAAATGCTGACAATAATAATGGATTAGACAAACTGAGATGAGCTCCAATCCTTTACACGTTGGTTTTGAGTGTTGACTAGTTGGATAATCTCTTCTACTCATCTGTAAAATGCCATTATTGGCCGATTATTTGTTAGTGGATTATTTGAAATGTTCTATTGTATATTAGTTGCTAACCTGTTATGTAGTTGGTTGAGCACCACATCATTCATTTATCTATATGTGTATTGTTTAATAGAACTATTTAAAGAACATAATATAATATGCATGCTTATGAAAGTGAATTATTTGAGTTTGGTTTATGCATACAAGAACCAGTCATGTGTATATATCCATAGTTTCCCTTTTTATCCAAATATGCATGGACCGTCATGGGCTCATGTATGTAATTTATTTATTGCACATGAGCAAAACTTTTTCTAAAAATTTTCTGAATATCTTTTTAATTCCTCTTTATTGCAAAAGATGCAAATACAGGATACCATGTAAAGGATCACATGTACATTTCATCCTACCAACGTCAAAAAGACCAATACCATAATAATTATGTATTTACCAAAAAAATATCATGAATTAATGAAATAAACCTTTAAAAGACATTTTCTTCGTAATGTATAAATTAGCAACCATATTTACGTTATAAATCTATTACTCTTTTTCTTCAAAGTAAGTTTTAATTTGTAAACTGGAAAATACTTGATACTTTTTTGTATGTGTGCAAATTTATGTATACGCACGTAGATTTGCTCACATAGTTACATTTATGTGTGGATAGAACAAAAACACTTTTAAACGTTACATAAATAATACTTTGTATATTTGTTATATTTGCAGATATGTTGCCGTAGGGAACGAACCATTCTTAACATCCTACAATGGATCATTCATAAACCTAACGTATCCAGCACTCGTCAACATCCAAACCGCTTTAAACGAAGCCGGAATCGGAGATTACATCAAAGCCACCGTTCCCTTAAACGCCGACGTATACAACTCTCCTCCAGACAACCAAGTCCCATCAGCCGGAAGATTCCGTTCCGACATCCTCCAAGAAATGACACTCATCGTCAACTTCCTCGCACAGAACAAAGCTCCTTTCACCGTCAACATCTACCCTTTCTTAAGCCTCTACCTAAGCAGTGACTTCCCTTTCGAGTACGCCTTCTTCGACGGTCAAACCACAGTCAACGATAACGGCGTTATCTACACAAACGTCTTTGACGCTAGTTTCGACACTCTTTTAGCGTCTTTGAACGCGTTGAACCACGGTGACATGGAAGTGATCGTTGGAGAAGTTGGTTGGCCTACGGATGGAGACAAGAACGCAAACGTTGCAAACGCGGAACGGTTTTATTCCGGTTTACTTCCCCGGTTAGCTAACAATGTTGGTACTCCCATGCGTAAAGGTTATATAGAGGTTTATCTTTTCGGATTTATCGATGAAGATGCTAAAAGCGTTGCACCTGGTAACTTTGAACGTCACTGGGGGATATTCAAATACGATGGACACCCAAAATTCCCGGTTGATTTACAAGGACAAGGTCAGAAGAAGTTCTTAACCGGAGCTCACAACGTTCAGTACTTGCTAAACCAGTGGTGCATGTTTAACCCCAACGGTCGTGGTAATATTAGTAAGCTTGGTGATAACATAAACTATGCGTGTTCGTTGTCAGATTGTACTGCTTTGGGTTATGGATCTTCTTGTGGTAATCTTGATGCTAATGGGAACGCTTCCTATGCGTTTAATATGTATTTTCAAGTGCAAAACCAAGAAGCTCAAGCGTGTGATTTCGAAGGACTTGCTATAATTACTACGAAGAATATTTCTCAAGGACAATGTGTTTTTCCTATTCAGATTGGGAAGCCATCTTCTGGACATTATGATTGTAGTTATAGTTTCATGGTTAGGTTTGGTTTGGTGATGAGTGGTTTGATGTTTCTTCTTATGACATAAGGAGATTTACATATGTTTTGTTTTTGTTGTATATGAGTGTGATTCTTTGTTCATCAATCATTTGATATTTTGTTACATTGGATAAAAATCATAAATACAAAATAATACATTGTTTTTTTGTTTGACTTTTGGCTAACAAACCCAACTTTGACATTCATTTAGTCTTTTTTTAAATCAAGTTATTAGAGAGTTAACCTTGCATGATTAGCTAAAAGATCCATTTCCATGAGTTGACCAAATTAAGTCCTTTCCATATCATTCTGCAAGTTGCATTTTGGAAACCTTTGTGTGATCTTATCATCCAGTCCTTGTCTAATGGCTTCAACTTCTCTAAAAAAATACATTCTAGATAGACTCCTCTTCACGCTTTTTGGTACAATGCTATTCATGGCCTATAGTAATTTCAGATTACGTCAATATTATTCAATAGCAGATTTTCCTGCTTTCGCTTTAACTACTTCATCATTTCATCTCAACCGCACGTACGATGTCTTTCCAAGCTTCCACGGTGCAGATGTTCGAAGAGGCTTCCTCAGCCATATTCTAAAAGAGTTCAAAAGAGCAACAATCGACACATTTGTTGATAATAACATCGAGAGGGGAAAGTCAATTGGTCCTAGATTCATAGAATCTATCAGAGGATCGAAGATAGCTATTGTCCTGCTCTCGAGAAACTATGCTTCCTCGACATGGTGTCTAAACGAATTGGCGGAGATCATGAGTTGTAGGGAAGAGATGGGTCTAATAGTGATGGTTGTCTTCTATGAAGTTGATCCATCTAACGTTAAAAAGCTGACCGGGCATTTCGGAAGGGTTTTTAGAAGAACTTGTGAAGGAAAAATTAAGGATGACATTGTGAGATGGAGACAGGCTTTGGCTGAAGTGGCAACAATAGCTGGTTATCATTCAACAAACTGGTTAGTTATTTTTATTTATCAGATGTTTTTTATAATCTTGATAATCTTGTGTGGTAAGTAGAGTATTTATGCCATATAAGATATTCGTGGTTGAACGATTAAATTCTTTGATGTTTTTTGTGGATTCTCATATGTATTTTTCTAACGAGTGTAGCCATCTTACTGCCTTTTAGGGATAATGAAGCGGCCATGATTGAACAAATAGCCAGTGATATATCACATAAGCTGAATAAATTCGCTGGTCCATCAAGTGAAACTCCATGAGATGATGAGAGGTCGTATGGACAATTGATGAAATAACAAGGATTCAGGGATATTCCCCAAAGGTGTTTACAATGTCTACATTGTTTTTTTCTTCTAATATGTGTAAACTCAAGGATTTTTTTTTTTTTGAAACACCTTTTTGTTTTTTGTTTTTCTAATATGTGTTAACACTCAAGGATTTTTTTTTTGAACCACCTTTTTTTGTTTTTTTCTAATATGTGTCAAGACTCAAGGATAATGTGATTTTCCTAGTCAGATCAGAAAACCATCTCCAGACCACTATGAATATAGTTATGTTTAATTGTTTGGACAGGTTCTTGGTGTTTCTCATGGTAGAACTTCCATCAATCATTTTGAGAGGGAAATTTGCTATGTCTAAGCATCGCTGGCTAAGAATCCAACAACATTTGCTATGTCTTTGGTCTCACCAAGCCTACCAAATAAGTTCTGCGCCTTCACTCTCTCCACTATCTCATTGCTCAATCCTTAATAAAACATCTCTGTGGCGACTGGTCCTGGAGAAACACAGTTAACTGTGATATGTGTTCCTTTGAGCTCTTTTGCAAGAATTTTGGACATAGCTTCTATGGCTGCCTTTGAAGCCGTGTATGATCCAAATGATGGTTTCAAGGATTGAACAAGGGAAGATGAGAGGAGGATGATCCGGCCACCTCCTCCACGTTTTAGCCTGTTGGCTGCTTCTCTAGCGCACAAAAACGCACCTCTTGTGTTCACACACTATCATCAAAACACAAAACATATAAAACGGAGACAATTGGTAAAAACAATTAGCTGCGTTATAAAAGTGTGAAGTAATAACATTATAACCAACGTAACGCTCTAACTAGCTTACGATGATGCAATAGCCATGCCAATAATATATTTACTCCCTAAATATTTTTGAAACTTTAATGATTTTAATTAACCTTATCTTGTATGTCCTGAAATTGAGTGTTGCGAGTTGTGGAGATTGTCAATTCGTATGCATATTGCTTTACGAGTTTTCTAGTATTGTTTTTTTGCTAGTTGTCGTTTTATGTTCTGTCTCCATCACGTACTTAGCGCAATCTAAGAACATGCATGTTTCACATTCGAAACAGTTGAATCTACGACGATTACTATTACATCCAACAACCAAACCTTATAGTAAGAAACAAACAATATGGGTGGAGATGTTAAGCGTAAAAGTAAAGATAAGATTACGTTCTTAATTTTTTTAGGGCCATTTTTTAGTTAGTGATTCTGCAAAACCCACTGACAATTAGCAGTATTATTTAATTTAAACTCGTGATTAACTAACTAATCAAAATTCAAAACACTCAATAAAAAAAGTGAAGTAATCATGCGTGCAACACGTGTCAAGTGAACAATCTTATCTCTAGATTTTGACAATACCATACTGTCTTCCACCAATAGAGACCCTCCGTTGTCCACGTGGACCCCCACAAAACCATATTCTCCCAATTATTATTATTTTTTATCTATTAAAAGAAAACAAAAAAAAGTCACCGAGGAAGTGCACGCCGGAGAAACTGAGCAAGCTGCGCCGGAGCACTAAGATGCGGCAAATGACCTTCAGTTTTCAACGTCTCCACCGTCGTATCCCCACCGAGATTCTCCCTCAGATACTCCGCCACCGAGGCCGGAACCGAGACGTCCTTAGCCGTCTGGATCACACAAGAAGGCACTTTCACAAGGCCAAGAACGCCTCTAAGATCACTATTAAACACAGTCCTCGAGACGAACAGAGAGATATCCGGACGCATATTAAAAAGCGTCCGGCTAAACTCTCTGACCGCCTCGGGGACATCAGCTCCAACAGCCAACGGGGCATATCCCTGAACCCACGCCTCGTAGTTCGCTTCCATAGCCGAGAACACTTTCTCTATCTCCCCTTCCTCGAACCCTCCGTGGTAATCCTCGTCGTTGAGGAACCTCGGAGAGGCTCCGATGAGGATGAGTTTGGAGAAAAGCTCCGGGCGACGGATAGAAGCAATGATACCAATCATGGCGGAGACCGAGTGGCCTACGTAGGCGCAGGTTTGGATGCCGAGGGAGTCGATGATGTTGAGGAGGTCGTCGACGTAGGGGTCGAGGGTTGTGTAACGGTTGAAGTCGAAGTAGTCAGGGTTGACGCTTCCGGCGCAGACTAGGTCGTAGAGGACGACTCTGTAGGTTTGTGTGAAGTAAGGGAGGATTAAGTGCCATGCGGATTGGTCTGTGCCGAATCCATGGGCTAGGACTAGGATCCGGTCGCCCGTGCCCACGACCCGGACGTTAAGAGCTTCGAGGATGTTGTGTTGGCTCATTTCTCTTCTTTGGGGGGTTGGTTTGAATGGTGGAGATGGAAAGAGAGGTACTGTTTATATAAAAGTTTTAATTGGGCTGGTTTGTGTTATCTTTTTTTTTTCTTTCTTTTCCACTGCATTTAATATTATTTATGCTTTTTGAACAAAGCTTCTGGACACAAAAGAGTTTGCGTTGATTATTCCTTCCTACTTTGATATTTTTAAAAAAATTATATAAGATGCTTGAAGGTTTATTGTTATTAGACTTTTAGGTGTTGTACTTTAGATATTCTCAAGCATGTTAGGTTCTGTGACTTGTGTTTCATCAACCAATGTCTATCCATAGATTTTTATATGAGTGGTAATGACAACAATGATATAGAGCATATGTATACAACTGTTTTCCTAACTTTCAGTAAGATAATGATAATAAGATTGAAGACATGAGTAGATAAATTGGATAATTAGGTTTTTATTCTGTTTTTAAGAAAATGAATTACAGGTCAAAAAAGTATTAGAGATATATTCCAACCAAGTTAAGACTCCGTTCACATGTTAGCTTATGTAAGTCATAATTGTCTGCAAATTACAAATCATGTTTTTTTGGCAATGTGGTTAACTTTTAAAATATTAGGAATTCAATTCGTCAAAGACTGTGATGAGCTCTCTCTCTTTTTTGAGTAAAGGGATTGTCTGAAATAAGTGGCTTTTATGTTTAACTAATGAACATGATGAATCTAGAACTAACCACTTGTGTGTGTGTGCGTTCTTATGCAGAGGGGAGGCTGGTGGAGTGGAGACTATAAAAGTTATAACATGATTGGTTTGTGGAGCTCGTGAGAGATTATGAAAACATGGATGATTAATTATTACTAGTTAGTGGTTGATATTTGCTTATAAAAGAGTCAAAGTAATTAAGTGGCTTGATTACTACTTTTGGTTGATTTTCACTTCTATGTTTTTCACTTTTGTAATCTAGTTTTTAACCATCTCTCTTAGCTTCGGATTTTATTTCACTATGCATCTCAGGTGAAAACTTGCAAGAAGAAGCAAGAGCGCAAGCAAGGTGTAGATTAAGATCAGAGTCAAATGGTTTCTTTTTCAGTTCTCTAAGTCAAATGGTCTTACTTTACAACATAAACATACAAATGAAGCTAACTAACTAGTTATCAAACTAATTTTCGTTTTACGGTGTTTACCTTGTTTGACACTACAAGACTATAATTTAACTTTAATAATTACAAGTTTACATTATTTTTGTTCTCTTCATTTTCTTTTCGCCAACAAGTTCTAATATTCTGCCGATTTATTGCATTTTGAATTATTTATTTTAGGCAAAATCTTATTGCCTAATTAAATCAGACAATGTATTTGGACCAAAATTAGGGAATGAACTATGGAAATACAAATCAATTGACAGTAATAATTTTATGAAATTAATGCAAATTGACAAACATTTCCATAAAAACATTGAAAATTTATCCGGACAATACCCCATAAAGTAGGATATCAAATTAAACGAGACTTTGTAAAAAAAAATATTTTCCTAAATTAAAAAGACGATTGTCAATACTTTTTAAAATAACTCTAAGAACCCACAACTTTGACAGAAATATACAAAAACCACCTAAAACAAACGCATAACGTTATCAATCCCCCATGATCTTTACATTTGGGTTCAAATCTCCAAAGTAACACACTTTTTAGATTAATTAGTTTCAACTGCTTCATAAACTGCCAATATTAATCAACATAATTGAATTAAACCACCTTTTTATTTAAATAAATCAAAATAACAGACCATTTTAAAGTAATCGGCGTTAAATGAAACATTGAAATTACACCAACCGCATAGGCTTTACAATGCTATTTTGAAAAATAATGGTACCATTTAAGTAAAAAATAGAAAATTAAAGGGGTAGATTTGGTTAAGACCCAAAAATTACGGAGAGTTACCATAAACCCGCCCATCTCACCAAACTCTCAACGTTCAAAAAAAAAAGTTGAATCCTTTTTCTTCGCGTCGTATCGCAAAGAAGAGAAGAAAGAGACTTTCAAGTTCCTGCGTTTCAATCAGAGTCACTGGTATGCTTCGTTCTCTGTTATCAACTCTGTTCATACTCTTTCTTGTCGATTAGCGTTACTGATTCTCTTCTTTTATTCGTTTATATACGTTTTGGCTTCGAACTCTAAAGACCCTTTTCGTGAATTCATCGCTACAAATCGATATCTTTTCCTTTAGATGATGTTTATGTAACTTACAGTAAAAAGATTGAACCTTTAAGACTTTTAAGTAATGGATTTACTTGAAAATTAGCGGGAATTCAAAATTCAAGTGGAAAATGATACTTTTCAATCGGTTTAGCAAAGAAAGTCGATTACTTTTTATGAGGGGATTGATTATTGGTTTGGAGATTTTGTTTTCTTTATAAGGATATGGTTTGGAATCATTTCGGTAATGTTGTTAGGATAAAAGAATCTTATCTTATATTTAAAATGATTGTATATCTCTAAGTTGTTTATACAGTTATTGTCACATAAGATGGCTTGTTGTTGACTTCGTTGTGGCTTTTCTTTTCAGAGGAAACAATAAATGGGGAGAAATCTAGGTTCAGCGTTTAGACAAGAGTTGGCTAATCTCGACAAAGATCCAGATGCTAACAAGACTGCAATGAGTAACTTGAGAACTATTGTGAAAGATTTGAATGCAAAAGTGATACATGTGTTTCTTGCTCAAGTCTCTGAGACCAAAGAGATTGGTTCTGAGTCCGGTGGCTACACGGTTTCTCTCTTTGAAGACCTTGCTCGTGCTCATGGCGTAAAAGTTGCTCCACATGTGGAAATGATCATGCCGGTTATCATAAGGACGTTGAGCTCTTGTGATGGGTCCTTAGGTGTTCAACAGGCTTGCTCAAAGGCTGTAGCTGCTATGGCTAGATATGGGATTGATCCTGCAACACCTGAAGATAAGAAAAGGAATGTGATTCATTCTCTTTGCAAGCCGCTCTCTGACGCTCTTCTTGATACACAGCATGAACAGCATCTTGCTTTGGGGTCTGCTCTTTGCTTGAAGTCACTTGTGGATTGTGATAACTGGCGTTTTGCTTCTAGTGAGATGGTTAATAGTGTTTGTCAAAGCTTAGCTGTTGCTCTTGAAGCCACTTCTAGTGAAGCAAAGTCTCATATGGCGCTTGTCATTGCTCTGGCTAAGCATAATCCTTTTATAGTTGAGGCGTATGCTAGGCTTTTGGTGAAGTCTGGTTTGAGGATTCTTGATTTGGGTGTTGTTGAGGGAGATTCTCAGAAACGGCTTTTAGCTGTGCAGATGCTCAACTTTCTGATGAAGTATTTGAATCCCAAGAGTATTTGCTCTGAGGTAGAGGTTATATTCAAAGAGATGGAGAAACATTTGAAAGATGAGATGTATTTTGTTAGAATGGCAGCTTATGAAACCATGAGTACAGCAGAGAGATTAATAGGAGAGGCAGATCCAATGTTTGATGCAGAGAAGAAATGCAAGACTGGAGTCTCGCTAAGTGGATCAATGAAGTCTACACCAAGTCTGAGAGGACATAACATGAGTTATGTTAATGATCAAGAAGATGAAGATGTTTTGTTTTCCGGTATAGCCAGTGGAAGAACTGGTGTCTCAGGCTCTCCTTTGGTTTATTACGCTGACTATAACCAAGAAATTGGTTCTGTGCATGAGAGTCCAAGATATGGAAACCAGGTAAGAAAATGCTAATGCTATCTCTTTTGTGTGTTCTTTCTTAAAGAAGATATATTAATCTGCTACTTTTGGTTTCAGATTCAGTTTTCTGGTGTTGAAGGTTATGACATGGAGTCAGTTATGTTCCATCAGAGGAACAGAAGCTCTGATTTTAATGAATCAGTGTGCTCTCGGAGCAATCGCTCAAGAAGTTCAAGAAGAAGCCAGAAGAAGAGACAATCAGGAGACATGTGTTCACAACATCACAGGCACGGTTTTGCACAAGATCCATTCACTGAGCTAGTGGAGAACAGACAGCAGATGCAACAGTACAGTGAAAGCTCTTCTTCATCATCAATATATGATACATCTGGTACTACTAATACTACTCCAACGGAAGATATCTGTGAGAAGCCGAAGTCAGAGTTGGATTCTGAGGCCAAAGTTATGACAGGAGAGACTGAAACAGTCTCAATCTCAAAAGGGGGCAGGAGCAAGCGTGTGTTAAGATGGGGATTTAGTTTCTTCTCTATTGCTGTTGCAGGGTTTGCTATGTGGGTGCATCTGAATGATGATGTAATGATGCCTCCTCACCTTGTTCCTACTTAAAGCCTAAGGGATGAACATAAAAAAGCAGCTTAGAACATAGAGCTTAGGTTGTTCAACTTGTACGTTTTCTTGTTTTCTTTTGTTAAATGTGTGACAGATCTTTGTTCAAATACTCGTTTGTTTTATCCTTTTAAATCAATACAATGTCAATCTAAATGGGTGTCAAACGAAGTTTTAACATTGAACTAGTATAAGAAAACAAGACACTCCAGAAATCTTTAAAATGGGAAATTTCAAGATGGGACGACCAAACATCGCAAATCAAATGACAAAACTCAAGTTTGGAAGTGTTTGTAGTACACAAGATCATAAAACTCAAACTAAGAGAGTACCAAGAAATTTCAAGAATTAAAACAAAGAGAGGTTTAAAGAAGAAACAATTGACTACAAGATATTTCTTTTGTTCTATAGCTTAGTCTTCCTCTGCGCCTGCACCTGCGGCTGCTGCTGCGTCTCTCCTTGGTCCACCTGCTTGTTTCGCCATTATAATCTGCACATTTTGCATACACCAGACAAGAGTATTAATATGTAGGCCTTACAGTACTCATCGAGGTCAATGCAATGGAAAATGAATGTTGAATCTAATGGAATAGAGGCTACGTTTATATGCTAGCCTCAAAAGATATTGCATCAAGTCAAACATCCAACGATATAACTACCATGAGAGACTGGTTGGTTGGTTCCCTAGAATACTAAATCAGGTCGGTTTGTGAATACCTGGTCTACGCGGAGCACCGTGCATGCAGCATCAGAAGCGTACTTGAGAGCAAATAACCTGCACAGAGACTTAGTGCCTTAGTTACAAAGAAAATATCTTATGTCTCTGAGAGATACTTTTTTGATGAGTTGAACGACAGTTACCCAAATGCAGAGATGTATGATAGAAAATATCTTATTGATGAAACTTACTTGGTTGCAAAAAGATCCCACACTTTTGTCTCTGAGACATCTTTACAAGCACCTTCCTCCAAGTCAATGCCTAGCTTTGTGTTTCCAGAACCGTGTCCAGTGTACAGAGATGCTATGATTTCCATCGCATTGAGGCCAGCGTTGTCAGCAAGGGTTTTGGGTACAAACTCGAAGCTCTCTGCGTATTTGGAGATGGCATATTTGTCCAACCTAGAAAACTCGAAGTAAAACCAAAGTTTTAGCCACCAAACCATAAGCATTTTTGTATAAAAAGCTAGCCTTACAATAATGATACTTTAAACACGACTCAAAATGATATAATCAGAGACTGAGTAAAAGAAAGTACCCTGTTTCTGCATTGGCGTATTCCTTCAACCTCTGAGCCAGTTCTATCTCAGTAGCTGCAGCCCCGGGAACGATACGGCTGTCCCTGCACATGGCCTGAGGGAAAGAGTACAAGTAATTGCAAAAGTCAGACAAATATTCTATACAAAGGAAAATAGACATGGAAAAGGATGTGTAGTTCAGTAAAGATTACCTTGTATGTATTGACTCCATCGTCAACAGCCCTTTCAAGGTCATCCAATATACTATCTGTGCTTCCACGCAACACCACTGTGGAAATCGAGTTGCCACCTTGCTCATTTCTTGCAATAGTGACCTAAAGACACCACAAGAAAACCGAGAAATGCATACTGGTCAATGAAAGGCAAATATAATTAACCAAAAAGAAAGAAATGGATTTCAAAAGAGTACTTACTGTCACACCACCAATTTCCTCCACCGCGATGGAATCAACGTATCCCAAATCATCAGGACTTGGCCGGCTTAGTTTCAACTGTTCAATAATCATTATGTATTAAAAAAATACCCTTACATATTCATAAAGAGTGCGAATGAGAAACACATACATGAGCAACAGCCCCAGCTGTGCGGCAGAAACGCCTCAGTTCAAACTTTGAGCTGATTTTCAAAACCATAATCCTGCCAAAAAATAGTCCACATTAGTATATGATAAGCAGAAGCTACAGTGTTATTGGGTATCCACAGTGAAAGCGAGGAAATGAAATGATTAAGAAGATAATTAGAGTCTGCACATACTTGTAGCGCTCACAGAAATGCAATGCCATTTCTCCAACTGATCCACCACTAACAATCACTTTGGCTCCTGAATCAGCTACAGCTTTAATCAGCTCCTCAACTTTAGCTTCCTCTGTTTTTGCATAGTTCTCTAGCTATAAAACCAAGAAAAACTCTGTGTAAGTAAAACTAACCTTCAGAAAATATACTAGATCCTCAAATTGAAAGGATAGGGTGAAAAAACTAACCTGCTCAGCACTATGGATCAAAACAGTTCCTTTTGTCTCTGTTGCAGTAGTGTCAACTCCCCCAGCAAACACCGCAACCTGAAGTAAGTATAAAAAAATGTTAGGAGACATTCAAGCTATCAAAAACAGGAAAGACATAAGCACTCAAGGTGATAAATTCAAACAAATCAGCTAGAAAAACTTGGACAAAAAGCATAAACAATAAAAAGCAATCTCACCTTTGCCTTCTCCATTCGCTTGATGCTACCCACAGCGTCGCTTTTCAAGACCATTCCACGAACTATGCAAGAGTTGTGCAATCCTCCTCCCAAGAGCTTAGCAACACGGACGTTGTCTACATTAAAGTTTGTAGGATTTTTCGGGCAGACTTGAATGCATGCCTGTAATAAAAAAAGTAAACCCATCAGCTAAAAACTAAATCTTCCTTAGGAAATAACAATCTAAAAACAAAACTCACATCAGCAACGAGAGAGCATATAATCTCTTCTTGTCCAAACTGCTTGCTCGCAACAGCTGCTCTCATCCTAGACACAACTTCATCTTTGTTACGCACATCCATGGTCTCAGAACCACTCTCAACCAGTTGTTCAAGAATCTCAACAACCTGCAACATAACAAACAAATCACTTTTACACAAACAAAGAGAAAGCAAAAACAAAAGCTCATCCCAAATCCACAAACCTTAATGATTGATTTGTTATATCCACTAATGATCTCACTAGGATGCAATCCCATCCTGATAAGCTCTTCAGCGTTCTGCAAAAGCTCACCAGCAAAGGAGATAGTCAGATTAGCTCCATCTCCAATCTCTTCCTGCTGAGCCTTAGCAGCTAAAACCAAGATCTTCGCAGCAGGATGCTGAATCTCAAGCTCATTCACAATAGTCGCAGCATCATTAGTAACAAAAAGCTTGTCTAAATGATTAATAACCATTTTATTCATCCCTAAAACATCAAAATAGACAAAAAAAAAACATCAGATTCCGACAGAAATGAGACAAAAGACATCAGATTCCGACAGAACTGAAACAAGTGGTGTTTTAACAAATCGAGAGTTATTAGATCCGAACCATTGGGACCGAGAGAAGTGCGTGTGATGGTGGAGAGCTCTTTGCAAGCTTCGATGTTTTTGATGACGGCTTCGTCTAGACCAGAGAGATGTCTGTAACCTTCCTTAAGCATCGATTGGATTCCATAAGGCTGCATCGTGTTTTCTCCCGATTACGATCTGTTACGACTACTTAAGCTCTCTTGCCGTCACTGTTACTATAGTTTGCTGCTCTTTTAAGGGGAGAAAGTGTAACCTAGCAAGGTTGCGAGGTTTTGAAATACTTTTATTTTTCTTTGTTGTAACTTTTGTACCCGAAAACGTCGTCGTTTTACGCAGCTTCTAGGTAGTTCTGCCATGTTTTAGCCAATTAGTGGTCGATGTAACAATCTTTAATCTCGAGGGCTGAAATTAGGTTTACGAAAAAGTTTAGGGACCCGAAGAGAAATTTAACAAAGATTTTTTGTAACTGAAATCTTCTTGCAGGGTTTTGATATGCAAGATGAATTCTTTTATTTTCAAACAATAATTTTGAGGTTTCTCTCCCTTTAACTAAACCTTCTTTATGTATTGTTTAAACCTCCACAATCTTCCATTCATACAATGAAGTTATTCTTCTTTTGATGCATTGAATTTAGTTCAAATGCTTTCCTACAATGATCATCAGATGAGAAATCTTCTAGAATAAATTATTTGTACATTAGTTAATGATTATCATTAGAAACTAAACTTAGTTATCATTTTATTGGTTAGTAAGTGTCCTTAAGATTTAACAATCTAAATAATATTAAGTTTACCAAAATTCCGCATAATTTGTCTTTAAGATTTTTCCAATTGTATTTGAATGGTATCACCACCAGAATAAGAACGAGACAAGCATGGATTTACATGGGAACAAGGAGTTTCAAGCTGAGGTCTTGTCATCAGGCCATAGGATACTGCGCCGATGGAGATCAAATGGTTTTGGTTTATGACTCTGGAGGTTCTTTCCAAGACCAACTTCAATGAATAGCCATTGGTGGCAGAGTGGAACATTTATTGTTTTGTAGTTGTGGAGTCTATGATATAGAGAAGAAGGTACATGACAAGCATAGATTATTAATACTCTCAGTGTCCTCTACACTCTCAATGTAACACAAAAGCTTCAACAATAGAGTGAGAGAGAGAGAGAGAGAGAGAGAGAGAGAGAGAGAGAGAGAGAGAGAGAGAGAGAGAGGAGAACTCAATAAATCAACTACTTTTATCAAACATTTGTTTCAACATTTGATCATATCATATATGAAATGTATTATTATAAACTCAGCGCACAAGATTAAACATATAACTGATCCATAATCCAACACATGTATTATTATAAAGAACAAAAATAAACTCTTCAAGACCTCAATGTAACATGTAACATCCAAACTACAATAACAGCAAGACAAAACAGCTACAAACTATTACCCATTCCTATGTTCCCAATAATAAGATAGCCGGCGTACACCATTGCCACCATAACCTTCCTCTACATCTCCCCATTATATACAACCTGAAACAATATATATGCAACTTGTCAGGTTATCAAGGGCAAGCATACCAAACTGAAATAGATGGAAACTAGAATTTCTTTTCTTTGGTACTACTATACCTGATTTACAACTTGTTCTCTGACAAAACTATGATGCCCTGGAGAGCTGTAAAAGCTGGTCCAACAATAGTGACCAAAACTGAGAAAAAGTTATAAAACCAATGAGTGACACACTGCTAGAAATTTCATCTGCTAATAACCCCATCATAACCAGAAACGAGAATAAGAGAATATAAAGCTGTAATATGTACAGATTAAAATAACAATCTTATAAACCAAAAGATTGGTTGCAAAGCTACACTATGGACTCATTTCACTAACTAGCAGTAGGCATGATGAAACCACAAAAATCACAGCTATGAGGTTGGAGACCCAGTTGCATTTTCTAAGCTCTAACAAACAGTTTACAGTAAAACCACAACCACAAAACATGGAGACAAGCAATTTTCTCTAAACATACCTCTGAAATAGCCTTTCATGACCAGGAAGGAATCTGTTCATACTCTGACCGGCACTTCCCCCATTTTATATTCGTCACATGCTGCAAAACACACAAACATGCAAAATCAGGGGCAGACAACAATTAAAACAAACACACAAACATGGTAATAAGAGAAGGAAAAGAACAAAATCTTTTCCAAAAAAAAAAAAAAGAAAACACTGAAACTCGAGAGGGGAAAATCTTTAAATTACTACTAGACTGATAAAGAGTGGACTTAGTGGTCATAAAAGTGTCAAAGGCAACAAAATCAACCATCTCTAACGGACAGATTAATGACAGGATGTATCTTCTATTTATTTCTACAATCATGAATTCACAAAAGTTTCATACCAAAACTTGAGTAATCTTAAAATTTTCCCCAAAAGAGCTTTCAAAAAAGAAAGAAAAAAAAAACATTTGAAAACCGTTTCAGAGACGAAGATTGAGAAAAAGAACTCATCTGATGGTATGGCCAAGATCAAGTTGGGACAGAGACATTAAGGTGCTTTGCTGCTGGTTATTTATGGCTTGTAGGAGTTTGTTTCCAAAGGATATCATATATAGAGAGAAAGAGAGAGTTGATTCTATCCTGAGTTTGAAAAATAGTCAAATATCAAAAGAATACTTGGTTCCTATCCTGTTAGCAAGTCATTTGTTGTTAGAACTTTGGTTTAAAACAGATAAATAAAACAAAGAATACTATCAATGATCTGATATCAACTCTAGAGAAGAACAAATCATGAGTTGAATTTGTTTTTTTATCAGATGGTGCGTCCTTTATACAAAAGGAACAAAAGCACAATTGTAATATGTTTTGAAAAGCATAGAAGCTTATATTAAGGTTCTCAGGGATCCAGAGCCTGAAGAAAATAAACACAACCCAAACGGAGTTCTTTAATTAAAAAGTAATCGTTTCAGCGAATCGTTTCTTCAGAAGCTCCATCAAGGACCTGTATACAAAAACAATCAGAATCAACCACCTCAGGTAGATGTTGAAGGATTTTTAGATGAAGCAAGGTTTAAAGAAGTGTGTGCCTGTTTCTTTTGCTTGATCTTCTTATCTCTGATCATCTTTTGTCTGGTCTCATAAAACTTGAAATCATCAAGTATACATGTCTTGCTAATATACTCCTTGAGTATCTTTATAATTTTGGCTCCATCTTCCACATTCACCTGCGCAACAAAACCATGACCGTTACAGCTAAAAAGGCATATCAAAACATGGTCTAAGAAGGGTTTAAAGGAAGTTTAATGAACCTCTTGAGTGTCTCTGCTATTAGTGACGGGCTTGTTCTCGTTATTAGCAAGCGTTATGTGTCTCAAGAGACTGTTTGGTACGTCTTTGATGATATGCCACTTCACAGGAAAGCAACCAATCCATTTATCTTGTTGCCAATACTCTACTGTCTTGTTGAAATCAACAGGACCTGTCATCTCCGCAAGGCCAACAAATTGACCACTTGCATTCACCTGCAAGATAAAAAACCAATCAACAGCTAATTAACTTAATGTAAATCCACGAGAACAATTGCATCACATCTCCTCATACTAACCGAGAACAGAAGATAAACAGGACACTCTTGTGCTTCATAATATGCAGCATTCAACTTCTTGTTGCCAGTTGGTGTGCTCGACCACATGCCATACTTTATACTGTTGTGAACATCATCTTCACTGTATGACTTAATCACAAAGAACTTCGCTTTCTCGAATGTTTCAGGGAAATTCTCCCCGTTGTAGCGCTTGAGATCTTCTACCACTGGAGTGTCTTGCTTCATCTTCTCTAGCGTTGTAGAGTTAAGACCTTGTGGATTTTTAACATCATTGCTTCTTGGTCCTCGACAAAGCTCATTAAGCCTATCTGCCTTCTCTTCACTGTTACCACGCGCGTAGTTGAAGCTTCTGGTCTTTCTATAACCATCAACAGGATACCATCCTCTCCCAAGTTTCCAAGAATCATAACCAAACGTTCCATAAGCATGACCAGAGTCGATTACATTCCCGTATAGTCCATAAAATCCATGGTTTGAATACAAATGGTCATTATATCCAAACAGGTCAAAACTTGGTGCTTCTTGTGAACTGTATGGATTCTGTAAACAAGAAAGAACAATGGGGTTTGGACCCATTTGTTAGACTAAAAATTCTCAAGTCCCATCCTAAAGGAATAAGAGAACAAAACATACATTTCAACATCCATAGAAAGACAGATGAGAGATAATAAGGTGTGAATCTAATGAAACAGAACCAACATACCATGAGAGGTGAAAAGGTATTTGAATTGCTGTTGTGGCCATAACCAAACCCTGGATCCTCGTAGCCACCAGAAGGATGGTTTGGTGAGAAGTAGCCCCACGGGTTTCCACCATTAAAATTAGGCCTTCTTTCGCTTCCATGAGAAGATGGAGCAGTAAATGCACCAGGAGGTACATATCCATACTGGCTCTGAAGAGAACTCTTCACACAATACAAAACACAGTCAAGTCAGTGACCAAAAAAAAAAAAGCTCACTCGGTACATGCAATTATTGCATTTAAATCAGTATCAAAACCTCCATAGAAACAGTTTAGTGTTCAAAATCCTTACACGAAACACACAGTTTTGAGTTCTAAAAGGCATTTAATTTCAAAACAGCAGCAAAGCAAGCAAGCAAGTACCTTATTATGATTCATAGGGACTTCACTTGCATCTGAACTCAAGGCCAACTCCTGGAACCATTCTGCTGTTTCTGCACTGATTAGATACAAGATTAATTCAATGTTTTCCATTAACAAAAAAAACAACCAATCAATCCAAAAAGACAACCTACGAAAGATACTGACAGTATAACCAAACAACAAAACAACCAATACCAACAAAAAAAAGGAGTTATCTTTGAGTGACAATGAACAATACCCAGAAGAGGGAAGCTAGTGACGAGACGATCAGAAGAAGAGGCTCCAGAAGCCATGTCAATAGTATCAAACAGAAAAAAAAGGTAAAAGCTTTAAAGCAGTAAAGCCCTAAAGAAACGTCTGAGAGCTATCGGCAAATGAAGCAAAGGCAACCTCGAAAAACCCAGAGCCTTCCTTCCTTGTGGGTTTAGAAAGTTCAGTTTTTTTTTTTTTTTTTGGTTTCTTCGTCTTTCTCCTTAGACATAAGGCGACAAAAACAAACAAATCAAGACATAACAGATAAGGTTATTATCCTTAATGGCAAATTTTAACTCACATTAGATTCTGAAACTGACGTTTATTGCTTTTGTTAGTGGTCCTTTGTAATAACTAGTTGCATATTTCCCGCGCAAGCGCGGAGCCGGGATCATTATGTTTGCGTGTATTTTTTCGATTGTTGGTTTAGTGGATTCTTCTAATGACACCAATTAATAATGAAATGGAAAATTTCATGTTTTTATCGTATGTCAAAACTTGATATAATTCTATATTTATAGTATTTATATTTGTATTAAACGATTTATCAATATGAAAATAACCTTAATTAAGTTAATATTCGTTGTTTAAGTTTCATTAGATAGGTTTTTATATATGGTTTTTTGTAAGTTTCGGTTTTGTTCATAAATGATGTGGCATTTTTATCTACGGAGTCATCGANGAAATTACATATTCATTTAATAAATAACTTACTTAAATTTTGTTGTTTATTTTATTTTATTTCACATACAATTTTTTTTGAAAAATATTAGGAATGTGTTAAATGTTATTTATATGCGAAGTAAGGTTTATAGGAATAGTTAGGCTATAATATAGTTTTTAGTGTGTAAAAGTAGGTGTATTTTTTTTTGCTGTAAATAATTTTTATATCGTAAATCAAAACTTGATATAATTCTATATTTATAGTATTTATATTTGTATTAAACGATTTATCAATTTGAAAATAACCTTAATTAAGTTAATATTCGTTGTTTAAGTTTCATTAGATAGGCTTTTATATATGTTTTTTTGTAAGTTTGAGTTTTGTTCATAAATGATGTGGCATTTTTATCTACGGTGTCATCGACTGTGGGACATCGACTGTGGGAATCCATTCGTCGGAGTCTGGAATCGGTGGTGAGGAATGTTTTCAAGGAAATTATAGTAGTTATTAAAACGTAAGAGAAATTATATATTCATTTAATAATAACGAAAATAATTAATTTTTGTTGTTTTATTTTATTTTATCTCACATACAAATTTTTTGAAAATATATATTAGGAAATATGTGCAA